TTTTTTTAAAACTAAACTGTTTAGAATACAACATATCGTTCTCTGATAAATGATTAAATAGCCTGTTATACATTTGTTTTTCAAAACATGGCAAGGTAGACATAGGCTTATAATTAAAAATAATGAATCATCGCCAGTTTTAAAAAACTACGTGATTTGTGCAATTTTAATTATTTACAGGACAATACCTGTTTTAAAAGAAAGATTAAAGATGTGAAACAAAATGGGTTCTACTATATCATGAACAGATTTTACAACATTAATATTCAATTTATCAAAACCCGGAACTTTTATTAGTTTTAAGATTATAAAAGGCAGTTCGCAATTCAATTAGTTTAAAATTACGCTCAATCATTTACCTTCTTAATGGACTTATGTCTTGTTTTTGATCCTAGTCAGTATATCAATTCAGAAAAGTCAGTATATCATTTCAGGCTCTTGTGACTTCTAGAGAATTTTTGATAATGTTCAGAAAAATCTGTTTTTTTATCTCTCTTGCATAATTCAGATTTTATTACCTCACTTTTAGACAAAGCTAAACTACTTACTAACAAAAATTTTATTAGTTTTATCTTTCAATTCCACTAATCATAATATACATGACATAGCCAACAAACAAGTTAATTTATTGCTTGAAATTTGTATATCTCAGACTTCTGTATCTAAAGTTATTTCTGGCTAGGGCTTTTTACAGCGTGTGGTTAGGACTAAATACCTTTCATAGTTTAGCAGAATTGTTAATCAGAGCTGTTCATCAGAAGTGTTCATCAGAGTTGTTGTCTTTACTTTTAAAACTATTTAACAAGGGCTATTTAAAGTCTTGTTTTCCAGCCTGCTGAAAAGCTACATCAGTCATCTTTATTTCCAAAAATTATGGAGACATATCAGACTCGTCTAACTACCATAAGTCTTCTATTTATCATAAGCAAATTTTTTAAGGGGTATACTCCCCCAGAAATTTTTTATAAATCCAAAAAAAATAAAAATTGATTTAGATAATTAAAAATATGGGGGTTTTATAATAGTTTTACTTAAAAATATCTCTAAATTCCAAAACATTTTGTTTTTGAGAGTTGGGTACAAAAAAGAGAAAATTTTGAACCCCTAAAAAAATCACTTTTAAACCAAAACAACATACTGATTTCACAAGTTAAAAACATATTTGGCTTCTTGTTAGACTTGTTAATACTTTTTTTTGGTATATGAAGACAAATTTTGTTTTTGTTGATTTGTAGCTTGTATGTGATTTGTAGCGTTCCAAGATACAAAAAATTATTGTAAAAAAATGAAATTGACTATAAACACAAATAAGACCTAATTAATTATTTTCAAACCACCCAGGAAGCAAATACCTGCTGACTACCAAATTCTATTAGATGAAATAACAATAAAGCCTGAAAACAATGTAAAATTTTTAGGAGTAACATTGGACCAGCATCTAACCTTTAAACAGCAGATCGAGTCGGTAATTAAAAAATGCCACTCTTTCTTGGTAATGTTGGCAAGAGCATCAGCAAGCCTACAAAAAAAATTATTAAAGATGGCCTACAACGGAATGGTGCTTAGTAATATGGAATTCATTAGTTCACTCTGTATTATCTTACCAAACACCCATATAAATAAATTAGACGTAGTAAAAAAACAAGTCGCGAAAATCATTTTCCATGCACCTCGAATTTCCCATGCTGCATCATTAATTAAAAACTTGGTCTTAAAGCACTAGCGGATCGAAGAACGGATCATGCGATAAAAATAATTGAATCAGTTGTTAAAGGAAAATGCCATCCTGCTTTAAACAAACTTATCCAAGTAAACAATGAAGGTCGTTTCAAAATAACGGTATCAAATAATAAATATGGTAAAAAAAGATTTTGTCTTTGGAGTCATTCTGTACAATAAAAAATGAGAGAAAAAGACAAAAATTAAAAAAAAAAATAAAAAAAAAAAAAATAAAAAAAAAAAGTATAAAATAACAAAAAAACAAAAAAATATAAAACAAAAAAATTAAAAAAATATAAAAATAAATTTGAACAAAAAAATTTAAACTTAGAGCAGCGGAAGAAAGACCGGATACTAAAGTCAAATAGAAAAAATATAAAAGAAGCACAAAAAGAAAAAACTATAAAAGACCAAAAAATAGAACATTCTCCAAAGACGTAGCTGTCTAGCTGTCATCGAAAGAAAATAAAAATTTACTACTACTACTGCTCATTTTTTGTCGCATTTTGATCAAATTAAAGTAAGAACTAACCGAGAAAACAAAAGAAAGAAGATTTTCAATAAAAAAGTGTTACGTAGCAGTGTGAGTGTAAATAATGTAAATTTTCCTTCTTTAAGTACAAATATCGAATCACCTGTATATAGCCAAACTGGCACCTTCGATACGCCAAGCTCTTCTCTTCGCAAAGTTGAAGCAGTCATTAGCTCAACATCACAAAAATATACCAATACTAAAAATAAAGTTCTGAAAGGATATAGAATTATTAATTCTTCGATTTTGGCTGATGTTATCAGTGTTTTGAGCTGTCCAACTTGTTTCCAAACGACTTTATTGAAAAACAATCATTGAAAACAAAAGTGAAAAGCAAGGACTTGCATGTAAACTTTCTATTAATTGTTTAAAGAATAAATATAAAAATGACTTTTATACTTCTAAGTTAATTAATAAAAAAAGAAAATTTGGTATAAACAATCGAACAGTATATACATTGAGGATTCTTGGATTAGGACATTGAATAGGTTTTGAAAGGTTTACAACCCTAATGAACATGCCAAAACCAAATACGTCAAAAAACTATGACAAACTTGTTTTAAAAGTTGTTAATATTACTGTTGTTCAACGCATTTAGAAGCCATTTTGTTTTTAATGTTTTTATTACTTATCAACAATCTCAACGTTTTTACAAAAAAATTGTTCACTATACATAGTATTTAAAAATACATTGTGAAGATATCTTGTGAAGAGAAAGTTGCACAGGAAACAATGAATGATGCTGTATCTGATTTAAGACTACAGTGTCAAAATAATAATGAGATTCTTGATGTTGGTGTATCATGTGATAGCACATGACTGCGCAGGGAATTTTCATCATTGAATGGTGTTTTTGCCGCACTTTCAATGAACAGTGGGAAAGTTTTAGATGTTGAGGTGATGAGTCGAGTATGCAGAGGGTGCTTCTTAAATCAAAAACTTTCTAAAAATGATCCTACAGTTTATGTCGAGTGGAGCAATTCCCACATTTGAAAAATGAATTTTATTGGTTCTGCAGGTGGAATAGAGTATATTGGAACTAGACGCATTTTCCAGCGAGACTCCGGAAATCGAAAAAAATGTTAGGGGACTGGGTGGTTGTGGTAGATTGACAGATGCAAGAATCGGTCGACTGCATAATTTCTTTGGTGTGGCAATTAGATGTAATACTGGTAATTTATTTGCCATGAAATCAGCAGTGCTTGCTATTCTTTTTTACGTTGCATCATTAAAAGCAAATAACTGGCACCATCCACATTGTCGAACATGTGTAAATAGTTGGTGTAAATTTATCAAAGACAAAGAAAATAGCAAAACACCACCATGTCCTTTAGAGGCTGTATACAATATACAATAAGCCTGTGTTTGAAGAGCTTACAAAAGAAGATTAGCTTAAAAAATGTCTGCACGGTAAAACGCAAAATGCAAATGAGTCTTTCCATGGGAAAATTTGGGATCGCATACTTAAAATAAAATACGTCTCGCTGACTTTGCTGAAGTTTGATGTTTATGATGCTGTTGCCAATTTTAACATTAGTATGAAGTCTTCAATCCTAATATGTGAAAAACTGATCATGGTTCCAGGTTTTTATACACTAAACAATTCTAACGACATAAATAAAACACGCATTAAATGGTTGATCTACAAACTAAACCCCATAACAAATTGCGTTGTCAAAAGTTAAGGGCTAAAAAACTGAAGAAAAGTGACAAAACCTTTGAAAAAGGAAGTAAAACATATGAAGCAGAAGGGTTTAAATATTAAATATAGTCCATTATATAATGTTACGTATATTTGTAGATCTTATATCGTTTATTTTCAGTTTTTAAGCGTTTTCTCAGTTTAAGTTTTTTCAATATGCTGGCCAAAACTCCGAGAGAACCGCTTGAGTGTTTTATCTGAAGTTTTCAACAAATTTCCTTTTTTATAAATGCTGTGTTTTAAACGGAACAGAATTTTGAAATTCTTATGAATTTTACAGTTTGGCTAATTTAATTTTTCAAAAAATGCACTTTTTTTCTATTGTCAACTTTAGAGCAAAAGTCTTCAGGCTCAGAACTTTTAAAACAAAAATCTGTTTCGTTAATAAACGAGTGTTTTAAATTTAAAACACTCATAAACCTATTCTAATTGTGTTTCCAATGTTTCGTTCAGCCTTTTTTATTAACTTTTGATAAAACTTGGCCAGCGCAAATCTTATTTTCTGCTTATTTTGGGGGTTTTTTCACAGTTATTGCAGCAACCGTTGACCAATTTTTTTTTTTTTAATTTTTTTTAATTTATGATATAGTTAATCATTTTATGTCAAAAGTTGTTATTTATTGTCTATATTTAAAAATGGGGGAGTATAACCTTTAAGTCTATAATAAACAAACACCCAATCTCTGATAACGAATCTAATAACTTACTTTCTGATTAGCATTATGCATTTGATTATCTCCTTCTGCTGCTAACACGCAAAAATAAAACATACCGAAAAACGTTTTTTTTCAAACAAGTAAAATATTTAGCTAGACTGTTTTGTTTAAAAAGATTATGTTTGTACTAGAAATTTGCTGCCAAGTAACCCAATGTAAACTAAACGAAAGTTTTTTTAAAATTTTACTTTTTTGTTTTGATTCCGTTTTGGTATTGAGCCTTTCGGTAATCTTGAAGATGTCGCTAAGACCGAAATGTTTAATTAATTGAAACAAATAACCAAAAATTTAATCCTTTTTTTTTTCAAACTTTACTTTTATTTTTGTTTAGATATTGAGCCTTATGGTTTTTTATCAGATATCTATCAGATGGAGTTTCTCAATTCGACAACAAAATCAAGCCCGGCAATATCTAGAAGATCAATTGCAAATCAAAAGGGTGAGTTTAAAAATTTTAAAAACCGAATTTTACTACTGCATTTCATTGGTTGTTGTTATAAATTAACAGTACATTTAGAGATATATATGTCATAGACACCGAAATTACCATTTGGCAAAAATATATTGAAGTTTTTCTTTTATATAAACGAATTTTGTATCATATAAATTTTTTATGCATAAATTTAAACCATGACTGCATTTTTGTTGTTGTTTAATTAAAAAAATGTCATAACATACAATAGTTTATTTTATAGTTAAAAACAATTGAAAAAAAATGTTTAATTAAGAAGCCATTTTAGAATAATGAAATTTTAAAATAATGTAGTTTTAGAATAATGTAACTCAAAAAAAGCTAAATAAACAATATATGATAGCTAGTATTTGAAGCCACAAATTAAAAAAAAAAAACTTAAAAAAATGAGTAGCCTCCATGACTGAAGTGGCACGCTCGGCATTTGGAAGCTAAAAATAGGAAAAAATAATTAAATTTTATTTTAAGTCAAATTTTGTAAACTTTTTATTATGACAATATATATATTTTAACAATGTTAATAAAATAACAATAATGATATTATTAATAATGTTAATTATGTCTTAAAAGGTCTAATACTTATTATTCAGAAGGGTGGATTGATTTTAAAAATTTTTGAAATTTAATTTGCCTGAGCTGCGAATTGATGTCTTTTGGTGAAAAAAGAACCTTACCTTTTTTTTTTTAAATTTAAATGAGTTTTAGAGGTTCCTCTTTGGATTCTAAATTTATGACGGATCCTAATATTGTTGAAATTTTTTTTCTTCAAAACTATATCAACCTGGTACTCAAAAGAAGCAGAATAATACGTTTTTTTTGAATATAGTATTTGTTTTAATTCAAAACTAAAGAAAAAAAAATAACGTTGTTTTTTTTCTCATTAAAAAACCCCCGTCTTTATCAAAACAGGGGTTTTAAGGTATATTTTTGCAAATATATTTTTTAAATAAAATTTTACTAAAAACTTTTTTTTAATAAAATTATTATTGATAAAACAAGCATTTTTTTCTGCTTCTTTTGAGTCCAAGGATGATATAGTTTAGAAAAAAAAAATTCAAAAATATTAGGATCCGTCAAGGATTTAGAATCCAAAGATGAACCTCAAGGTCTCATCAAAATCAAAAAATATTTTTTTTACTTTCATTTTATAATTAATAGACATCGATTCGTTTCTCAGGAATATAAGTTTTTAAACTTTTTTGCTATGAAAATCGATCCACCCTATTATACCGGCTGGGTCGGGAAGCGGGTGCAATCGTTCTCAATAATTGACCACGTAAATAATAATTATTTTCGAAAAACCGGTCAGATTTTTTAGTCGTTTTGAGAACATTTAAGTTTATGTATGTTTCCTTATTTGTCACAAAATAATAAGTTCGTAAATTAAAATTATTTTTTTTTACGGACATACATGGAAACATACATAAACTCGAATGTTTTTAAACAGGTAAAATTAAAAAAAGTGCGATAAAATAAAAACAGAATATTCGCAAACACAAAAAACTCGCCAAATCTACGAACAACTAATTCTATCGGTTAAAAATATTAACCAAAATTTCTAGAGTATTCAAAAAATACTAACTGAATGTTCTAGAGTATTCTGTTGAAATTGTATTATTTGAGTTTTGTCATGTTTTCGTTAAGATTTCTAGCATAAATTGTTTTAAGAATATACTAACAAACGAACTATTATTTTAATACTATGGCTCATTCTCGGAGCCACATCTACAAAGCTATAAATGTTATAAAGAAACATCTGTTATTTTAATGTAAGTAATGTATTTTTATATAAGTTTTTTTTTATGCATGTAATTTTATGTATGTGTATTTTATTCAAATATAATCTTTTAAAGCAATTTGAGTGATTTTGCAAACAAAAGTACTTTCAATAATAACAGCATTTTCAATGAAATTAATAATAATCATCAAAGTTAATACAATTAATTATGAAATAAACATACAAGAAGTTTAATAATACTAAAAACACAAACATATATAGTATCTCGCGACAGAACACAAATATGTATATACTTACATACATTAATATATATATATATATATATATATATATATATATATATATATATATATATATATATATATATATATATATATATATATATATATATATATATATATATATATATATATATATATATATATATATATATATATATATGTATATATATATATATATATATATATATATATATATATATATATATATATATATATATATATATATATATATATATATATATATATATATATATATATATATATTCGCTTGAAATCCATAATATTAAATTTTAGCATTTGAATGTAATTTGTATTTTTAAATATTCTAGTTTTATTAAAAAAAAAAAATTATAGAATAAAAATGTTAAACGGCAAAAAAGAGCAGTTCTTCAAAATAATATAACAAAAATTATTTTGTAAAAAATATAAAAGCTACCAAAGCTGAAGCTGCTAACGGTGTAAGTCAAAGAAAACTCGCACGTAAATTCAACGTTGATCAAAAGACAATTTCTACACAATTGACCAAAATGAACATTAAGTACCGTAAACGTGAAAAAA